ATCAAAAGCTGCAAGACTCAGTTGAATTTCCTGGAGAAGCTCTCTGGAATATTTCTCTCTGTGAAGTCAAATGTTGAAGCAAAAAGATCAGTGCAGCAATGTCAATCCAAAAAGCGAATGCCACCCTGTCTGTGGGCTTCTATATATCTCCTCTTCTCAGAATTCATCCATGGATGTTCTCAGCCAGCCAAAGCCAAAGCCCCTTGAATGAAAGAGCTCACAGCAAAACATTACATGCCCTCTCACAGGCCCACCTCCAGCAAAACAGTACATGCTCAGCTGGCAGCAAAACATCACATGACAAAACAGTGTCTTCAAGGAAACCAGAAAATTTTTTATTTATTTCATATTAATTACAGTTTATTCACTTTGTATCCCAGCTGTAGCCCCCTCATTCATTCCCTCCCAATCCCACCCTCTCTCCCTCATCTCCTCCCATGCCCCTCTCCAAATAATAGGGAAGGTCCTCCTCCCCTTCCATCTGACCCTAGCTTATCAGGTCTCATCAGGACTGTCTGCATTGTCTTCCTCTGTGGCCTGATAAGGCTGCTTCCCCCTCAAGAGGAGGTGGTCAAAGAGCCAGCCAGAGTTCATGTCAGAGACAGCTCCTGTTCCCATTACTAGGGAACTCATTTGGATACTGAGCTGCCATGGGCTACATCTGAGCAGGGGTTCTAGGTAATATCCAGGAATGGTCCTTGGTTGGAGTATCAGTCTCAGAAAATACCCCTGTGCCCAGATATTTTGGTTCTGTTGCTCTTCTTGTGGAATTTCTGTCCCTCCAGGTCTTCCTAACTCCCCTTTCTTTTATAAGATTCCCTGCACTCTGCCCAAAGTTTGGTTATAAGTCTTAGCATCTGTTTTGATACGCTATATAGGGTCTTTCAGAGGCCCTTTGTGGTAGGCTCCTGTCCTGTTTCCTGTTTTAACCTTCTTCCAATGTCCATCCTGTTTGCCTTTCTGCGTGAGGATTGATCGTCTTACCCAGGGTCCTCCTTCTTGCTTGGGAAACCAGAAACTTTTATCTCAGTTTTCTACTGTCATTGTCTGAGGCCTTCTCTATTCTAATAGCTATAGGGATAAGAATCCATATACTTTTGAATGCACACTGATAGCACATGGACACATATTATCTATACACACACACACACACACACACACACACACACACACACACACACACATAACACATATATAACATGGCCACTTTGTTCAGTGACTTGAACTTCAAACTTCACTCAGGCCAACATGGTATTACAGAGACCTCTGTAAGAGAGGCTCAGTGATAGGTTATGTTTTCAGTACCTGATATGGTGCTCATCCTCAGCTAGTAGTGAACAAGTTGCTGGAATATCATCATGCAGTTGAGTATTCTGTCTGCCCTAGGGAGAAGATGAACGTCATTGAACTAGAGAACCCATGTTTTGGTTTCGTTGTGCTTCCCACTACTCAAATTGACTTTATTATTTCTTGAGCTTTTACAGAAGCTTCCCTCTGAGGCACCAGATGAGAATTAAAGCAACATGGTTATCTATATGTTGAACCAGAAATAACCACCTTAGGGGAGGAACATATTATATTTATGAGCATTAATAACTGATTCTCAAACAATTGTTTAAGCAATGGTGATCCTCACATCCACACATTATTAGAAGAGGGTGGTGAACATTCTAGGCAAAGAATGTTTAAAAGAAAATGGTAGAAACAGATCGCAAAAAAGGTTTCTGAGTTATCTTCACTTAACCTGACTGCTTTCCCAAAGGTTCAGTTCTACGTTGCAAGGCTCTGGCCTGTTAGGAACAGGAAGAAATCCAATGGACAGTTTTAGGCCTCAAGTGAGCTTTCACTCTCATTGACAAATGAAAGCAAGGTAAGTCTTGTTTCTTAGCCCATATACTCTTGGATGTGATGGAGGCTTGACCATTCCATAAAAGAATTCCCTCTAAGAGAGAAACATCTTAGACTGTAAGAGATTTTCCTCTAGTTCACCATTTGCTTCTGTTTGACTCTGGTTTGTGTTAGCATGTTAGCACTTCACAGACTCTGATGTGCTTGCATGTCACCTAGAGATATCTCGTCAGTAATCCCCAGATGCAGGTGGAGAACTGGCCTTCGTGGCTCAGGAGGCCTAGCAAACACACAGAGTGAAGTGCCTGTTTTATGGTCCTCTGGTACCTTTCTACTCTCCCACTGGTGAGCTCTCTGGGCCCCTGGGGCCCCTACTCCCTATTGCTGTCATTTACAACATTGCTCCTCAGCTATTGCCAAGAGTGTTTAAGAGGGATTTTGCTCGCTCATTTGCCATATTTAGTGAGCCTAGTGTCTCACAGACTTAGAGTTGTTTACATCCCCAAAAGTGAATTGTTTATTGGTCCCAAAGAAACTATACTAAATTTTCCAGAACATGAATTCCTTAGCTGCTATAAACATTCCTTCAAAGGCTCTAATGGTCTATCTCACCTTTCTATTTAAGAATGATAACCCACAGTATTTAGAATTAATTAGGTATTAACCCTAGAATCTTGCTTTTGCCTATAATTATCTACCTGGCATCCCAAAGACTCACAAAAGAGTCTGTAAAAAAGGTAGCTATCATGACTCTTGCTGTCCATGGAACAACAACAACAAATCAGAAGAGGGAGCAGGCCAGGGTCCACACAGTTGTATTGACTCGTGTTCCAGACCGAGGACCAGAGCTAGATTTTTGCCACCCTTGTTAGATAGCTAAAAATCGTAACTTGAGCTCCTGGGCATCTGATGCTCATCTCGTACCCTCTTTTGAACTCTGTGTGCATCTGCACATACTTTCATGTACTCCTCTACACATAACTAGAAATAGGGGCTGAAGAGACGGCTCAGCATTTAAGGACATTTGTTGCTCTTGCAGAGAAAACCATGGCTTTGTTTCCAGCAGCCACATGGAGGCTCATAACCATTGCAACTCTGGTTTCAAGAAATCTGAGGCTCATTTCTAGTCTCTATAGGTACTAGGTACACCTGATGTAAACATACATCCAGGCAGGTAAACACTTGTAACCATAAAATAAAAACAAATACATATTAAAGGAGAAAGAAAATAAACGGCCTTATAACGCATGTTTGCCCAGCTCATCTCTCACCAATGCAGGCAAGTTTCTGGAGGGCACCTGTGTTATAAAATATGTCAGTGTTAGGGGCTGCCTATGTTCATCAGTAAATGTTAAATATCCTCAATCCATCCGTTCCCTAAAAGAGCTACTGAGTCCTCTGAACAGTCAGACATAGCATCAACAGCAATGTCCCCCAGGAAACTCACAGTTTAAAGTGAAAATAGGTTAGTGGTAAGAGCTGGTCTTGTACTCCTGCCTCTCCTCCTCCTGCCCTTTCCTCTTCAGCATCTCCCACAGGCAGCTATCCTTAATCTCAGTACCCAGAGGCAGAGACAGGTGGATATGTGTGAGTTCATGACCAGCATGGTTTACATGGTAATTTCTGGCCACACAGGGAGACCCTGCTCCCCACCCCCAAAAAAGAGGCTAGCAGTAAATAACCACAGATGTGTGTTATGAAGGAGACAATGTGGTGGATTTAAGACGAAGAGGTCCGTTTTCAGAGGTGCTGGCCAGGAACTCAGCAGCATGGTAGTGCTGAAGCAGGGAGCCTCATGTGTGAACATCTTTGAGGGGCACAGCACTAGGTTTAGAAACTTCTGCCAATGCTTCTAGAGAGACCAGAGACAAGCCACTACTCCCCTCTTAGTGCATTTTTCTGCAAGTGGGACTTTTTTACTAGGTAACAAAAGACTAAACATTCATTTTTTGCTATTCTCAAAACCTGTTCTCTTTTTTTTTTAACTTTTATTAATTACACTTTATTCATTGTGTATCCCCCCATAAGCCCCTCCCTCCTCCCCTCCCAGTCCCACCCTCCCCCCTTTCTACATGCATGCCCCTCCCCAAGTCCACTGATAGGGGAGGTCCTCCTCTCCTCTCCTTTCTGATCTTAGTCTATCAGTTCTCATCAGAAGTGGCTGCATTGTCAGGGTTCTAGGTTATCTCCACGGATAGTCCTTGGTTGGAGTATGAGTCTCTGGGAAGTTCCCTGTGTTCAAATTATCCTGTTCTGTTGCTCTCCTTGTGGAGTTCCTGTCCTCTCCAGCTATTACTATTTCCCACTTCTTACATAAAATTCCATTCACTCTGCCCGTCAGTTGGCCATCAGGCTCAGCATCTGCTTTGACAGTCTGCACAGCAGAGGCTTTCAGAGGCCCTCTGTTGCAGGTTCCGAGGTTGTTTCCTGTTTTCTTCTTCTAGCTTTCAGAGGTCCTCTGTAGCAGGTTCCTAGGTTGTTTCCTGTTTTCTTTTTCTTCTGATGTCCATCCTCTTTGCCTTTCAGGATGGGGATTGAACATTTTAGTTAGGGTCCTCTCTTTTTCTTAGTTTGTTTAGATGTACAGATTTTAGTGGGTTTATTCTATGCTGTATGTCTATATGAGTGAGTATATACCGTGTGTGTCTTTTTGCTTCTGGGACAACTCACTCAGGATGATCCTTTCCAGGTCCTACCATTTACCTGCAAATTTCATGATTTCCTTATTTTTCATTGCTGAGTAGTACTCCATTGTATAGATGTACCACAGTTTCTGCATCCATTCTTCAGTTGAGGGGCATTTGGGCTGTTTCCAGCTTCTGGCTATTACAAATAAAGCTGCTACAAACATGGTTGAGCAAATGTCCTTTTTGTGTACTTGAGCCTTTTTTGGGTATATGCCTAGGAGTGGTATGGCTAGATCTTGAGGAAGTGCTATTCCTAGTTGTCTGAGAAAGCGCCAGATTGATTTCCAGAGTGGTTGTACAAGTTTACATTCCCACCAGCAGTGGAGAAGGTTCCCCTTTCTCATTTTTTATTTGCTCTTTAACCAGTGCCCAAACTTTTTAGTTTTTATTTGCTTTTTAAATTTTCACTTATTTTATTTGCTCTTTTGCTAATGCCCAAACTCACTCTCATTGTACCCACCACAGAGGACCACAGGCTGCCTACTTGGAGACTCTCAAAGCTCTCCTCCCTCCTCTAGTGAATGTGGCATCAGGAGCCACTCTGTTATAAGATGCAAGAGTTTGGCCTAACCCTCCAACTCCTTCTCTGCAAGATGAACTAGTACCAAGTAAGTGATTGCTAGGATTATGAGAAAACACTTGTCCAGTATGGCTATGGAACCCTGGGGGGAGGGGCCTGTTATTTCTACACAAACATCTTGTTTGATACTGCAGCTCACATAGCCTGGTCTTTTGGAGAAATAATTGACTTCCTTTCTAACCTGCCTGGACCTGTGGGAATCCCTCTGTGCATTTGACATCTGTACACGAAACAAAAAAACAAAACAAAACAAAACAAAACAGACCCTACTGCAAACATGTGACTAGGTGCGGTGTTTTCACTTGTAAGGCTCCCCACCTTCTCCATTTCAGAGGCATGAAGAGAAGGGCTGAAGTCTTCCATATGCTATGGCTTAGGGTTGTATGAACTCAAGCCGTACTGGGCCAGTTCTGTAGAAACTGTGCCTTGCAGATCAGGCCTGATAGGTACGACTTGCATTTAGCATTCTCTTTTCTGTTTCTGAGGTTATGGATTCTCAGAATCCAGGTGACGGGGCCAGCAGGCTGTAGTGTTGTGTTAGATCTGTTGTTTTCCCATATGGAGATCACTCCAGGAAGCTGCACATCAGAGCTCAGACTCCCCAGGGACTGAGCTTCAGACACATTTGAACAGCTTCTACTGAGCTTCTACAACAAATGCTTTACTTGCCAGATGTGGTAGAGGATTCACTGATGAACAAGACCCCTGCCCTCTAAAAGGATCAGTAGGTATTCACTAACTACAAAGCCAGGAACACAGTAGCAACTACAGAAGGCACAGCTTCAAGTGGTGATCTATTTGTTTCCTGTTGGAGCTACAAACTTACTGCCTTAAAACAACAAAACATAGTCTTTCATAGAAAGCCGAAAGTCTGAAATGAATCTTACAGAGTTTAAATCAGCTTATCAGAAGGCTGTGTTCCTCTGAAAGTGCTAGGCAGCATCTGTTTCTGTTGTCTTCCTGCTTCCAGTGGCTGCTACACAGCCTGGAGGACAGTGAGGCTCTGGTCCTGCTTTGGTGATCCCACTACCTCCTCTTTGTCCTCTGTGAAACTGTCTCTGACTCTCTCTTCTCAGACTGGTTGAGACTAAGGATAGGGAGGTGTGTTCCCTTTTCTATCATTGTTATTAGTGTTTAAAAACGATGTCACACATATACAATAGATAAAATATGAAAGAGTTTATTGGATGGAGAAGGAGAGAGAGAGGGGAGTGGGGGAAGGTAGGAGGTGCCCAACAGAGAAAGGGCAGAGAACAGAGAGAGCAAGAAAAAGAAGGCAAGGGTCCTTTTACCCGGGTCTCCTGTAGGCAGCGGCCAAAGATGACATCACAGGTGCCTAAGCAACTTGGGAGTGGGCTAATGCATCGACTTGTGAACAATTGTGACCATACCTAGCAAGAAGAAATGTATGAGAGAATGGATGTATTTTGGCTCATGGTTTAAACAATTAAAGTCCATGGACACTGAAGGCATAATTCTGGACTCAGAAATTAGGTATCAAAGGTGAGCCGCAATGCATTTGTGCTGAGTTTTGATGCTACCTGGGAAACTGGCTCTTGGTAAAACAAGACTGAATGTTTCCACGGCTGCCTGTGTTGCTGGGTTCCACACATGTGAAGTGAGGTCCACTCTACCTCATCATGCAGATTGATTTTGCTCGGCGCCATAAGCAAGCAAGCAAACAAAACCCTGTCAACCAAATGCATTCTGCAGAAATTTGAGACCAAGTCATTATAGCCACATTTTATCCCAATTTTAAACAATTTTGAAAACACAGTTCCAACAGTGTACAACTTCTCCAACTTCCCCAATGACACAATACTAAACAGTAATTAATATTTTCAAAGTTCATAGGGTTTGTGCATATGTTGTGGGTTGTGAGACAATCCAAACCAAGAGAATAAAGAACATGGACAAAGAAAGGTCCCTGGTAATTTGTTCCCTTCAATCTCTTTCTTTTCTCCTGTTTTTATTTAGTGCTTACTCCAAGTTAGAGAGTGAATCTTGTCTTCAAGAAGCTAAGGGGTTTGCAGAGGGAAAATTCGATTTCTTTGTTGGCCTGTTCTGGGTGACTTACACTCATTAGGCAGTTCTTTCCTGTGGTTCTGGAGTCTAGGAAGTCTGAGACTGTAGTACAGGTGGAATCTGCAGAACTTGTACCTTGCAAAGGGGACTACAAAGGAGAAATGCAAGGCAAAGGAGATGGAAAGGACAAAAAATAAGTCTGTTGAGTCCTGAGGAATAAGCTGAGCAGTGCACTGGATTCTTGTTGTCTAGGAATAAATACCATGGTGGTTCCAAGGTTCAGACAAGAAGCTGCCCCAGGTCACTGTGATCAGTAAGCTTGACTCGCAGAGTCCCTGATGAAGCACTTAAATGCATGTCATCGCCATGGTGGCCTGACCACCAGTGACTCAAGCTTCATTTAAGAACACGTAACAAGATTCATAATTTTCCATCTTGTACTTTCTCTTCTCATCCCCAAACTGTCTCGAAAACTTTCTGTGCATTTGAGAGACAGGGAAATGTCAAGAAGATTGCACCATGCAGAGTCAAGACCATCACATCAGGGGAGAGACTTCCTAAGTCAGCTAAAGTAAAAGGTGGGACGGTTGTGCACTGAAGTGAGCAATGGAAAGCTCTGAAGGTCTAGCTGGGGCTTGCTCTCTGAGGGTTTTGAAAGAGGACTCTTACAGGCAGGCTTCTTCCCTCAGTTGAGATGGGAAAGGAGCCACTTTCTCAGATGATTACAGTGCCTCCATCTCCGGAGAAAGACATGTTTGGGTTGGCAAATCTGACCAAGGTTGGTGGGGAGGAGGGATAGACCCCAGTGTGTTAGAGGAATGGAGAAAGTACATGCAATGAGAAAAGAGCTCGAGGGCCCAGACATAGAAGGAAGCCTGCAGAGAGTTCAGTTACGGTGTGGAGGATGTCTTGGCCAGGGGGCAGCAGTACTACCTTCCTTTGCTCTCTAGAAAGCAAATGTCTCAGTTCCCAACCCGTCGTCTTTCTCGAGGTGGTAGCTTTAAAGGGGATCCATGCTGTCTCACTGGTGGGTCATGGTGACGGAAGCTCAGGGATGAAGTACACGATTCTGTAATTTTATGGTCCTGTCAGCTTCCCTGAATGATACTGTCAGGGCCTTGTGCATCTAACCCTTTAGAACAATAAAGAGGATTTCACTGTATTTAACCAGAGGCTAGCCCAAACAGAGAACTCAGAGTGTCTCTTTCCAGATAGGACCATCAAAAGCCAGGCCAGCCTGCAGCACGGAGAACTGGAAAGCTCAGCTGGTATCGATTGGTATTTCAGCTTGTCTATGGGAGACCTTTGCTTTGCCAAGGGCACTGGGTGTGCAGATCTGTAAATCTGGGCCCCAGGAGAAGCAGACATTATTTTATTTCCTAAAGGCCTTGATGTTTCTCAAACGAATGTTTAAAAGGTCCATACTTCCTCCTGAAGCTTCTTCACGAGGAGGTGAATTTTAGAGAAAACAAAGGCCTGGGGGTGGGGTGGATGTCCCCAAAAAGCTGGTTTCAGCAGCTCTTTTCCGTGCTTTGCTGAGCGTGAGGATTTTGTAACCTCCTTTTACAGGCTTTCTTCTCCAGTTCCCCAAGTGTATCAGGCTAGCTGTTTATAGGTCTTGCTCTCGCATTTTTTGCATGTCCAATTCGTCCAGGTATTGAACATCTCTCATTTTTGGTCAGCGGGCTGCCTCCTTGGCCTGGTAACTAGTAGGGGAGGGGAAAGCCTTCAGTCGCTTGGTGGCGCGCGCGAGCCTCACAGGGCCTTGGCGACTCCTGCTCAGCATCTGCTCCCAACTCCAGCCCCACCCGCACCCCTGTGCTCTGGGAACCGCGCCCCCAGCCATCCCGAGCTGCTCAGGAACCCCGCTCAGGAACCCGAGAGTCAGCTGAGCGGCATCTGCATCTGGCCCTTGCAGGAGGAGCTGCGGGATGCGGGCGTCCGGGGCGCCAGCCTCCTCTCCCTGCTGCTCCCCAATCCCCGCCCCACCCTCCACTGGGCTCTGAAAACGCAAGCCTTCCCATAACAGTTTAAGATCAGCGGCAGGACTGCAGCCAGTCGGCGGCGGCGCCGAGCTTTCGGCAGAGAGCAGCGGCTCGGGGCGCTCCAGCTTCCCGGGGAAGGCCGGGCGCTCAGCCTGGGCAGCTGGAAGAGCAGCGGAGCCTCGGGCTGAGCGAGAGGGAGAGCAGGGCGTCTGCCTGTGTGTGACTGACCGTGGGGGCCGACTGTCTGCTTCTGGGCGGAGGAGAGGGCAGGGGGTTGACACCCTCTGGGTGTCCCCGCCCGCTCCTGCTCGCCAGCGCCCTTCACCATGGACTTGCGCGGAGTTGGGATGGACCACTGCAGCCACCCGCATCTGGCTGTCGGGCCCCGGGACGCGGCAGGTAGGCGCGCGTGGATGGCGAGGTAGGATGGCCGCGCAGCGCGATCCCCGGCGTCCCCCCGCAGCGGTCCCCGGGCGGTGCTGCTGACTCTCGGAGCGCACAGGGGTGTGGGCGGAGGCCGCCCAGCCGCGCCGGCGCCCGCGCCTTCGCCAGTCGCTTCGCCTCTTCCACCCACTCGCACCTGCCGCTGGGCGGATACCATGTCGAAGGCGGCTGCAGGAGCGGCGGCGGCGGCGGAAAGTTGTCCCTCGGCTCCGGCCGGCGTGTCTGCAGCGGCCGGCGTGGAGGATCTGTCTAAAGTGACGGATGAAGAGCTGCTGCAATGGAGCAAGGAGGAGCTGATCCGCAGCCTGCGGCGCGCCGAGGCCGAGAAGGTGAGCGCGATGCTGGACCACAGCAACCTCATTCGCGAGGTCAACCGCCGCCTGCAGATGCATCTCGGCGAGATCCGGGGGCTCAAGGTGAGTGCTGGGCCTGGTAAGAAGCCTCGGGTGGGCAGGGCAGGGATCTGGGAGTCGCGAGTGGGGTGGGGGGAATCAAACTTTCCTCCCTCCGTCAACAGGTGAGTTTATCCTCTCTCCCAGTAGCTCCCCTTGTCCCATCTCCAGCCCTTCAAGTTTTCCAAACTTTGGAGGCTTTTGGCTTTCTTATGGGGACTTGGCACCTGGCTTTCTCTTTGATGCTTCTGAGACTAAGGGGACAGGAACCAAGGATACCAGAAATCAGAAAGGGGCACGGTGAGCACAGGGCGACTTTAATGTCTCAAGAAACCTATAACGTCGATGCTTCAGAAATTACAGTACCCCAAGGGAAAAGACTAGCAAGCTTGCCTGCCCGGGACATCTTCACCTTTCGGGGTCAGGTGTAGCTGCTCTGGCGCCACTAGCTTTCTGGTGAGCAGAGGGCAAAGAAAGGACACACTGCTGTGAATCCCCCACCCCCACCCCCGCCCAGGAGTCAGTGTGTGACTCGGTCCTGGGTGTAGGTGAGAGTGATTTCTGTCTTCAAGTCTTTTACTGGCTCCCGTGATTTTCTGCCCTTACTGAGGTGGGCATCACCTGGATCAGCTTTACTTCCCTGCGCTCCTCACTCTGGATTTCACATTAATTTTATTAAGCATGGGCTGGGGCAGGTGTAGAAGCTCTGGGTAAGTGTCCTTAGTGATGCTTTGCTTTTGAGCCAGGTCTTTCCCCAAACCAGGAACTTTTTCTCCTTGGAGAGCTCCAGTGAGCCAGCCAGGCTGCAGCGACCCGCTGGGGGAACCGCCCTGCTGCTGTGCAGTGCAAACTTCCTCTGCTCACAGCTAGCCTGGTGCCTCCTGGTATTCCTTCCTCTCATTGTTCTGCTTTTGTTTATAGGAAGCCAGACACAAACGAAATAAATGGGAACCCCAGGGACCAAATCCACCCCCCCCCGCACATTTTTCCCCCTTCTCTCCTGTCTCCCACTGGGACTGTCAGGGACTAGGCATCATTCCCTATTCTGGGGCATGCTTACCTATGTCTGAGAGCCCGGGTCGGTCCAGATGGTTTCCTCAGGTCCAAACCCGGTGTCACACATTGCCTAGAGTAGGTGCCAAAATCTTTCTGATTTCAATTTATTACTAATGGAGTATGTATTGAGCACCAAACTCCTTGGGGGAAATGAGTGGAAGGCTAGAGTGGAAGGAATATGGTCTTGGAAGTTTGGTGTTAAGTTTGAATTAAGTACTGTCATCTAATAAGGAGGTAAGCTTGTGTAATTAATTTCTTACATCCTCGTTTTATTGATTAATGAAATGTGAACGATATGATCTGCTTTCTAAAGGTGTTGTGAGAATAAGCTACAGCAGTGTTGAGGGAGGTTTGATGCTGGAGAATATGGTAGTTGCTGTCATCAGGAGAAAGCATGAAGGCAGACCCATGTGCCTCTAGGAGCTGGGCGTCTTGGCAAGGCTAGACAGTAGTCTGTTTGTGAGGCTCCAGGTTAATCTTTCATGGCTTGAAGCACTAAGTGGCTTGGGAGAGTTTTCAGTTAACTGTCTTAAGATTCCACTCAGATGGAGAACAATAGTACCAACTCAAGAAATTCGTGGAAGTTCTTTTAGGTTGTGTGCACTGTGTGAAAGTCTGGGGGTGGGGGAGGATTTAATGAGTGCCAAACTACCATCCCTCAAGTAGCCTCATTTGGAGAAATAGCTATTGGTGCAGTTAAGAGCAATTTTGCCCTAAATAGGCAACTCTGAGGTCTGGACTCATGATTCAATATTACAAGACTTTGTAGGCCACCTCCTTATCAAGTTTCCAAAAGTAATAGAAGCTGGTCATTGTGATGCTCTTGCCTGGCTTGGATTCCAGAGCCCTGACTAGGAACAGCAAGGGAATGAAGAACACACAGCCACACAGAGAAGTGAAGAAATAAAGACACGTACAGAAAAGCTGTGGCCAGGTGAGATGTGCTCACTCTGGTGGAGGAGTGGAGCCTCAGCCCCCTCCAAGCTCAGTGTGCTGATGATACACAGTTGAGCAGAGAGGCAGGGTTAGTGCCTGCAGGTGAACAAGGAGGTGGTTTATGAAAGTGAACAAGAAGGAAGGCTTAGCTAATCTCCATAGGAGCAGTCTCTGTAGGGGAGCAGTCGTCAGGCTGTGCACATCTGGTGAAGGGAGAAAGCTGGGTAGGGATTCATACACACGTGACCACCATTCATCCCTGGATGCCGGGAAGGCTCTATCATTCCCATGGGACTGTGGTATTACAGTCCTCGACGTGGCCATACCCGCATTACCCACATACATTCATTCAGGACATCAGTCCCTCCTCACAGGTCCCATTCTGTGGCAGAGTCTGCTCCCTTTTTGTGGGAGACCCCAGGCTTCTTCTCTACCATAGGTGTTTTCTGAGCTCTTTTTCTGAGGCCACTGTACTCTCTCCTGTTCATCAGTTTGGATGGGAGCTTCCTTGGATTCCACAGTGAGCCATGTACGTGTTTGACTGAATGAATGATATGTGTATTTTTAATTTTTGTCCTAATTGGAAGAAAGTGATTCCATTTTGGAAGGCTCTGAGGGCCTGGCATTCCTTGAAGACTGTAAATGATGGATAATTGGAACCACAACACCTTACTATGACACCTCTTTAAAAATCATATCTAGGGCTGGAGAGATGGCTCAGAGGTTAAGAGCACTGGCTGCTCTTCCATAGGTCCAGAGTTCAATTCCCAGCAACCACATGGTGGCTCAGAACTATCTATAATAAGGTTTGGTGCCCTCTTCTGGCGTGCAGGTGTTATATGTAGGCAGAACACTGTATACATAATAAATTAAAAAAGTCATATCTAATGATTTTGAAGTGGCTAGGTGGGAGTGCCAGTGTACTGCTCGATTAGCTTAGAGAGACTGTTGGCCCCTCATCCTCAATCTTCTGGTCTGTTCAGTGGAGATTTTAATACTACATGAGGCTTTATGAAGGCTAAACATTATCTAGGCACAGAGAAGCCAGTGAGTTGAGAACGCTTTCTCAAGGTCACACAGATGTGTAATGTCCAGAAAAGGCTTTGTGGATATTCTTTGTGTCTAGTGTGTGGACTCAGAAGTCATGGTGGGAGGAGGTGTTGGTTAGAGTGCTCATGCTGTAAGGATCTAAGAAGCATCTATACTGCTGGGCCTGGAGTCTTGGTGGGGACTGCCTTGGCAGAAGTGAGTGGATACAGCTTTGTTGCTTTATTATTTTAAACTTGCTCTTGTATTAGTTACTTTGATGTAGCAGTGTGATGAAACACCGTGACCAAGGTAGCTTGAAAAGAAAGAGTTTATTTGGGCTTATGATTCTCGGGGGTAAGAGTTCATCATGGCAGCAAGTGGCATGAGGGCAGAAGCCGGTGTCTGAAAGCTCACAGCCGCAACTGCTAGACAAAGCAGTTAATAGGGATAACAGAACGCGGCGAGACAGGCCTTTTGACTCTCACAGGCTTCCTTCAGCAGGACCGCACTCCTACACATCTCCAAGGCAGCAGCAGGAACTGGAGACTTGTTCAGGTGGCTGAGCCTATTGGGGTGGTGGTGGTGAAGCATCCTCAGTCAGACTCCTTAACCCAAAACATCTGCAGAAAAGATAAGGCCCACATGAAAAGAATTCTTCGTGTACCAGAGATACAGCTCTTCCTAGGTCGAAATCTCAAGTGGATTTAAAGCTTTTAAAAGATACTTTTGACATTTGGGGTAATATTTTTTTGGCCTGTGGAAATGTTAAAAGGACATCTAGTGCCTTTTAAAGAGAAACTCTACATCGTAATGTGCCAGATTTGAAGAAGCTACATCACAGGGTTACTAGTTCAAGCTGGTTGCTTCATCAGAGGGTGAAGAAAATAGATCAACATTGAAGACAAATAATTTTCCCAAGAACATTCATAATAGGAAGGAGGGGCTATGGGAAATGTGAATGGACCATATGCTCTGGAATGTTGGAAAATCATCCATTTCACTTTTTAAGGAAAGCCTGTGATAACAGCACTCCTGTGCAACATAGTTCTAGATAAGTCAAGAACAGCCATAGCGTAGACATATTCAAGTGTTTTCAGGTGGAAATTCATTCAAATGAAGACCAACACAACTTGAACTTCATCCCAAATACCTGGGCGGAGATAAATGTTGAATAAGTTTTGAAACTTTTCAAGATTGATTTTGTTTGGTATCATTTTCTCTCAATATGCAAAGCTTCTGATTTCTTCTAAAGCATCAATATCAAGGGTTAATATACGGTACACCCCAACAGAACAGGGGCTATCTGTAAACAGCACAAAATTCTTTCTCGGTAGCTCTAGCTCTAGCCTTTTTTGGAGCAATAGGCCTAGAGCTTTAAAGAACTGAGATAAACATATAAATATATATTGTGTCCACTGTGTGCAGCATAGCACGGTAAGAGTGTTGCATAGACAGAGACCTCAGACATTGACTTTCTTTAAATGATGTCTACTGAATGCTCAAGTATGTCAAAGGCTTTGAGTGCTGGGTAGCAGAGTCATCACATTACGGTGGTACTTTGGTTTTAGGAAACACTTCTCAGAGAAATCTCTCATAGTGTGTAACTTCATGCCAGTAAGAGGGAGATATTTTCTACGTAGAATACATAAACATAATCAGATAGAAAGGGGATTTATTAATTTCCCCTGGCAAAGGGAGGTACCTGAGGTGTTTCAGGGCAGGCTCAATATGCAGAAAGTGTTTTTGAAGACCAGTCTGGCAAGGAGTGCTTGTATGGAGGTTAGTGTAGGAAGATAGAAGACGGGAGACAAGGTAGAGGCAGAAAGTAGGAGGACTTGCTTTTGGATACCTGTTTACCAGAGTGAAAGCTGCAGGATGCTAGGTTTTAGGCTTTCTTGAATGTTCATGAACACATTCCTGATGTTTGCACTAGTACCTAGCACATAATCTATGGCTACTAGTTCTTTGCGAGTAAACAAATGAATCACCGTTCACACTGGAGAAGTAGATAGAGAGAGAACATTTGAAGCTGTGTGAGACTTGAGGGATGTTGCACTGTATCCTAAGGGCCATGGGAAGCTATTACAGTTTCATGGCAGGAGTGAAAATTTAACTTTTGGAGGTGCACATTCTAAGGGTTTGTTTGGCTCAGAAATAGAAGGTGAGGGAGAAGATGCAGGAATCACCCTGTGTGCTTATACAGAGCAACAGGCAGAGGCGGTGTTTGCTGAGAGGTGCAATTTGGTGAAGAGCATTGGAATAGCAGCAGCTTTGGTTTACAGTAATTGTGAGTTACCTGGGTGAGTTTCCAGTGGGTATGGCCAGTAAGGGTGGATAAAATGGACTGAAATGCCCCTAAGGGCATTTTTCCCTAGTGGGTGGTGGAATGGGGCTGATCATGCCCTGTTGAGTCTGAAAACTTCACATCAGCTCTTTCAAAGAAATGCTGCCTCGGGCTTCTCAGCAGTCACAAGGCACAAGCAATTTTCTTTTCTCCTTGTCTTCTCTCTCTTTTTTTCCACTGTCATGAAACTCACTGGGTTGCCTAAATTAGCCTTGAAGTCTAGGTAGGCTCCCGCCTCTGCCCCTCAGGTTGCTGGGATTACCTATGTGAGCCACCATGCCACCATCTTTGTCTCTGGAGTGCAGGGTAAGACATCTTGTCTCCAGACTCAATTCCTGTTCCTGGCTGCTCCCTAATTGTTGACTTAGTGAAGTGCCTTGAGGCCCAGATTCTTCTGTAAAAGACTCCTAATTACTATCTCTTAAACACTGGGGTGAAAGACTGAATAAAATAAAATAAAAATAATTTGTAGAGTAACCCACAGGGAAGGGAACCTGTACCTATAGTTTAACATTATGGCTGTCTTCAATCTTTCACCTCTCTGTGGTCTCTCACCCGACAAGGAGTGCTCCTAAACCTTCCTAATGCTGCGACCCTCATGTTGCAGTGATCCCGGGCCATAAAATTATGCTCGTTGCTACTTCATAACTGTAATCTTGCGACTGTTAGGGATTGCAATGAAAATATTTTTGGAGCTAGAGGTTTGCCAAAGGGGTGAGGACCCACAGGTTGAGAGCCGCTGTAAGGAATCTTCAGTTCCAGGCCCTTCCATAGCGAAGGTCTAGGCTCCATACTCCCTCTTCTGTCTGCCCCCCTTGAACACCATCTCTCTTTTCAGGATATTAACCAGAAACTCCAGGAAGACAATCAGGAACTGAGGGACCTGTGTTGTTTCCTGGATGATGACCGGCAGAAAGGCAAGAGGGTGTCCCGGGAGTGGCAGAGATTGGGTCGTTACACAGCTGGAGTGATGCACAAGGAAGTGGCCTTATACTTGCAGAAGCTGAAGGAGCTGGAGGCGAAGCAGGAAGAAGTGGTGAAGGAGAACATGGAGCTTAAGGAGCTCTGCGTGCTGCTGGATGAGGAGAAGGGAGCGGGCTGTGCCGGCAGCCGCTGCTCCATCGACAGCCAGGCCAGCCTGTGTCAGCTGGTGGCCTCAGCCGCTCCGTATGTGCGGGATGTGGGAGATGGCAGCAGCACCTCCAGCACCGGCAGCACCGACAGCCCTGACCACCACAAACACCACGCCAGTGGGGGCAGCCCGGAGCACCTGCAGAAGACCCGGAGCGAGGGCAGCCCAGAGCACACCAAACACAGGAGCACTAGCCCTGAACATCTCCACAAACCCCGGGCTTCCGGGACCCCAGATCACCCCAAAGCACTGAAAGGACCCAGCCCTGAGCACCACAAGCCCTTATGCAAGGGTAGCCCAGAGCAGCAAAGGCACCCCCATCCAGGGAGCAGCCCAGAGATGCTGCCCAAGCACGTGCTGAGCGGGAGTCCTGAACATTTCCAGAAGCACAGGCCAGGGGGCAGCCCGGAACATGCCCGGCACAGCGGAGGGAGCCCCGAGCATCTTCAGAAACACGCCCTTGGTGGGAGCCTGGAGCACCTCCCCAGACCCAGGGGCACAAGCCCAGAACATCTCAAACAGCATTACGGGGGCAGCCCCGATCACAAACCTGTAGGTGGCAGTGGAGGCGGCGGCGGGGGCAGCAGGGAAGGCACCCTCCGGCGGCCGGCTCAAGAAGACTCATCACCCCATCACCGGAACGTCTACAGTGGCATGAACGGTGGGTCAGTACGCGCTGGGGAACTACTTTGGCTTGGCAGCTCAGCAGACCGTTACAAATGCTGAGGTGGTCTCCAGCAGTAGTAAAGAGAGGGAACGTTGGCTGAGGGGCGGGTAGGCAGGAGATGCAGCATTTGCCTGAAGTAACGATAAAGGCGTTTCTTCTCCCCATCCCCCTCTTTATTTCGTCTTGTACAACTGTCAGGCAGAAGGAGTTTGGGTGTGAAGGGTTACAGAGGAAAACTAAACTGTACGCTCCGGGCTGCTGAGTTGCCAGGGGGAAATCTGTTCTCCATGGGATAAAAATAGATTCTTTGACTCTGTCCTTGAATTGTTTCCTAGCTATATGCTGTTTCCAACCAGTGATTACTTGTGGCATGGTTTGCAGTTGAATCCACTGTAGAGCTTATGTACAGGAAAAAAGGAATATTTAAAAACAACCAGGTCCTAAACAGACTCCATGGGGTTTGCTTAAGTGTTCATGCATGTGCCTTTATCTTGAAAAAAAAACAAAACAAAACTTTTTTTTTTCCTGTTGGGTTGACCTTGTGGTGTCATCAATCTGTGACCTTTATTTGTATTAAAATGCAGCAAATGGTTCCATTACTACTCAGAACCTATCACTCTGCTCACCAAAGTCTCAGCCATACTGAGAGGATGTTCTCCCGCAGGAGACATCTTTCTGGGTCATTTAAATGTGCCTGTTTAAAACGTGCCCTATCTGGAGGCTGGAAAGCAGAACATCAGCTGTCTTTGCTGAGGCAACATTAAACCAGAGCTCTTAAACCATCTGGAAGAGGCTTAATTTTCTGCATCTTGGTTCTGAAATCGCTTTGAACTTGAAAAAGAAATAATTTCTTAAAGAAAATAAAAAGCGACCCCCCCCCATAGTTCTCTTGTGTTATTTATGGTTGGGTTGGAGTGGACATGATTGGTTTTTATCAACTGTGTGATTTCCATTCAAGATATCTGGGGTTTACATTCCATTTGAAACCTGCTCCAGAGTCTGCAGGGGAGGGGGGCGGGGGATCTGCTCCAGAGTCCACAGATGCCAGCTGCAAGCAGGGGCGGAGGGGCTGCCAGTTCCGAGCAGGGACACAGAAGGGCAAATCTTCACTGTTGTGCCTGGAGAAACCTGCTGGATTCCACTTCATCCTAATCCTCCTCCCTAGTGCTGAAATGGACTCTGGAAGCTTGCTGTTCTCCAGAGTGAAAAGTGGGGAAAATTCAAAGTGCTGGTTTCTTCTTTGCTCACACTGAGAGGTGGCTGGAAGAAACCAGTCCCCTGTTGTAGTGCCCGGATGGCCGTGGGCAGCTTCGGCCCTGTAGTTCTGTACAAGAGCCAAAGTCATTTAGAAAGAATTTGGTTGCTTCTCTCATGAGTTGGGTGACTGGTTATGATGCTTGTCTTCAAGGGCCACAATGGGTTAATGAAAAGATAAAATTAATGACTTTTCCATTTGTGATTACTTTTTAATGAGTTTGAGAAGTAACTCTGTGTACTATTTTAAGGAATCTTTTCTTTAAAAAAAAAGACTGAGGGACAAGTGATTCACTTACAAAATGGTTCTTTAAATAAAGGTCTACAGTTTATGCTTATCTTATTGTGTTTAAGGCATTACTATTCTTTTCATTTACAAATCATTATTACATATATTTATTAGGTAAAATGTGGTGTACTGATACTGTATATATAACGTGGCATGTTTAAATAAATCTAATTAGCATATCCATCAACTTACCAGCCATGTTTATGGAGGGATATTTGAAGTTTGCCTTTTTAGTTATTTAGAGATACGTAATATCTTGTCAATGCCTATAATCATCCTGCTGTGCCTACTCCTTCTATCAGCCTGTCTGTCTGTCTGCTGTCTGAAAATTTTAGCTCAGGAGTAGAGTGTTTGTGTACTAAGTGCAAAGCTCTGAGCTTCGTCCTCAGCTATGAAAAAAAAAAAATCAGTTGATCAAATAATGTTTGAAAATTGAGTGTGATGGCTCCAGCTGTGTTATTTTTGTTTAACACTGTTTTGGATATTCAAGGTCATTTATATATTCATTTTATTTTAAGAATTTTAAAACCGTTTCTTTGAAAAATAAGATTGGGGTTTTGGTAAAGATTACATTGATTCTTTTTATAACTTATAGTTTTATAAGTATAATTCTCCCAATCCATGATTATAGCATATCCTTTAGCTTATCTCTATTTTCCCTTTTTTCTAATTTCTTCATTTTTACAGTTTCAGTATACAGGTTCATTACCTCCTTGATTGTATGTGTGTGGTATATATTTGTGCTGCATGCACATATGTGTTCGTCTGGAGTTTAGAAGAAGGACATCAGCAGTCATGTTTTGTCTCTCCTCTTATTCCCTAAGACTAGAACTCTCGTAGAACTTGGAGTTAAGCTGGTGACCATCCATCTCTGCACCCAGCCCTGCTCCCCACTGCTGGGCCCTCAGGCACGTGCTGTACCTGGATTTTCATGTGGTCGCTGGGGATTAGAACTTAGTCCTTAGGCCTGCACGAGTGCAGTCACCTACTAACGCGTCTTACCAGACCCTCCATTAAATTGATATGGAAACTTTTGCTGTTTGCTGTTGTTTTCACTAGTATAAATGGGATTCCCCTTTTAATTTCTCTGTGGAAGAGCAGCTAGTAGATAATAGAATTGCTACTGGGGTTTATGTCTTTTGACTTCACCTAATTTGATTACCAGGTCTAACAAGTTTTTATAGATACTTTGAAAATTTCTATATAAAACCGTGTTATCAGCAAATGCGGGCAGTTTCACTTCTTCCTTTCTTATCAGGATGTCTTTTTAATTTTTATTTTTTTATATTAATTACAGTTTATTTACCTTGTATCCCAGCTGTAGCCCCCTCCCTCATTCCACAGATAGGGGCGGTCTTCCTCCCTTCCATATCAGGGTGTCTTTGATTTCTGCCTTGGCAAGGGCTTTTTCAGTCTTGGGATAAATAGAGTGATAGGGTAGTTATCTTAGAGGAAAACTTAGACTTCTACTGTTGAAGGTGGCTTTGGCTTTTACTGAACTGAGGCTATTGACTTCCTTTTTAATGAGAAGATGTTAAAGATATTACACATTACCTGAATTCAGGTAAACTTAGTGGGCCAACCAAATGATTTTTAAAATTTAGCAGTATAATAATTTAACTAGATTTAATAGTGTAGTTTAATGGTTATATTATTGAAAAATTTCATATGTAGTTCAATTCTTGTGTCTAAGTGTTTTCCTTCTTAAGTAATGGCTCTTTTGCTAAGAGTTGATATCCTTACCAGAGTGTAATTTTAGCACATTTGCATTGCATTTTTATTTCAGTAATTAATTGGAAAATGAAGTGGCACAATGAGATATTTACGGATCATCAACCTGTAAACTTGGGCATTGGTGGCTTGTATTTATTCTGCCATTACAAATTAATTTTTGATATGGATGGTAAAACATACTTTTCCCTACTTTTAAATCCACACACAATTTGTTGTAATCATTGGTGTATGAACAGATAAGAACCAGCCAGGAAGTTAATCCTGAATTGCAGGTTGGCTGAGTCATTTCCAGAGACACTCTGTTTGGGGTTGATGAGAAATATGAGTGCTGTGGGTTAAACTCTTATATATTTTTGCATGAACAAAAAGCTTGTGAAAGCTATGGAGATGATTTGACCTGTGGCAGGCTGAAACAGGTAAACTGTGTGCTGGCAGGGCATTGTCTTCCCAGAAGATGTGCATTCCCATAACCACACCATGAACTCTAAGGGACTCTCCAAAGACACGGCCATCCTAGCCATGTCCTCAGACATCTTAAAGTCTTCTGATGCTTTCAGTTACCTATTCAGGGATCCTTGAACTTTACCTACTAGTTTCCTTTGGTTGTCTCCATCTAAAATTCAAAAGTAAATTTTAGATACATTCTCACTCTTGAGACCTTAGCTCTTATAATCATTTCTTATAGCTATTTGACAAACAACAAAATCAGTACACATAGGCACATAGCTTCCAAACTATCTGAAATCTCCATGCGTGGACATACTTCCTTGTAAGTTTTTTTTTCCTAGCTTATAAAGAGCCAAGAATTCTAGTTTCAAAAATGAAGTAATTCAACATTTAACACATTTCAACATTAAAGAATTTGCCCATTTATCAAAGATGCTTATTGTACTCCAGATTTGTAATTACAGAAACCATGAATTCTTAGCTATAAATGTATACAAGCTGGACCTCAAGCATCAAAATGGTGGACTTTATTTGCCCGAATCTGTTGAAATCTGACATAGAGTTGAAGTTTCCTAGGAGGTCCAGGTATCTCCTCTCTCACGTCTTGCTTGCAGATACTAGCTGGAGGATTGTTCCCTTTTAACAGAATTTTAGCCCAGGTCATGAAATCTCTTATATGACTCAGGCTCTTCTAGCAACTAGCCTTTTTGGGTGTTGATCCTTAGACCAACAGCAGAGGCAACTTACCAACTGAGCATTATCAGTGTGTCAATGGTTTTAGTAAACAAACAATTAATAAAAGCTTCTAATTCCAGAGGCACACACTGTTGGTTATCCAAAAACAACCACAAGTCCAGGCACAAACCCTCACATCAAAGCTGGGTGCAGCAACTGAGAAGGAAGGAAAGTGTCTTAAGAGCAGGCAAAAGAGTTAGAGACATCTCCTCTCCCACTGTCAGGAGACTCCCTAAAAGTCAAGCCAGCAACTTTAACATTTATGCAGAGGTCTTAGCACAGATCTGTACAGGCTCCACAATTGCCGCGTCATCATCCGTGGGCCCTATTCTGCTTACTTGATTCCATCGTGGGCCATGCTTTCTCAGGATCTTCAACCCTTCTGGCTCCCACAATTCCTCCTCCCCATATTTTGTAGGGTTTTCTGAGCTCTGAGGGGAGGAACCTGAAAGAGACCTCTAACCTGGGCTGTCTCTTTGCTTAATGTTTGGCTGTGGATCTCTGCATCTGTTCCCATCAGCTGCTGGAGGCAGCC